AGTTATTCTGCAAATGAGAGTGGGCCAACAATAAATAATGGATTTCAATCAAGATTTAGTGGTGGTGGTTTTTTTAGTGTTACTGGTAAATTGTCTAATTTGTGTTTAGGATTTTTTAAAGATATTGTATATCCAGTATATAGAGGAGGTTTTGAAATAAGTTTTTTAAGACGTAGTGACGATGATGCTTTATTTAGAGGTAAGAATGATAAAACAGATGTGGTGCCTGGAGCTGGAAAAATTGTTATTGAGAAATTACTTATTAGGATACCAATTGTGACTTATAGTGATATGAATAGAGTTAAATTGGTAAATGAATTAATTTCATTGTCAGAGAGAAACGAGTATATTTTTAGTTTCAAATCATGGCAGTGCATTGAAGAAAGTAATATTACTGGTAAAACACTACAAAAAGATATAACAAATATGTATAGAAATGTCCATAATCCTTTATTTGCTATCATAGCTTTTCAAACAGGTAGGTTAAATAATCAATTGGCAGACCCAGTAGAATTTAGTAATTGTAATTTGAAAAATATTTGGTTGGGTGTTGATAGTATGAGATATCCAGAAGAATTATTAAACTTAGATTTTAAAAAAGAAGAATTTGATACTGCTTATGATATGTTAATGGATTATAAGAATGTTTATAATAGAGTACACAGAGACTTATCTTTAATGTATATAACTCCAACACAGTTTAAGGATACCAGACCATACTTTGTAATTGATATGAGTAGACAACCATCACAAATCTCTGGATCTAAAACAAGTATTGTCTTACATGCAGATTTTAATGAAGATGTGCCCGCTAATACCATTTGTTATATTTGTTTAGTTTCTGGTACCGAATTTTTCTATGATCTTACTAATAATACAATTAGAGAAAATATATAAAATATATACATCTTAAATAAATGGACTATTGCAAAAATTGTAAATCTAAAACTAGGAGTATAGGTATTCCTGAATTTATTAAAAAAAATAATAAATACAGGAGGTTATCAGTGTGTAAAATATGTAATACAAATAAGAATAATATTTCAAAACCACCAGAACTTATAGAAGCTTATGAATTATTTAAACCAGCTAGAAAAAATTTTGAAACGAGACATTTTATACAAAGAGGTATAAATGATACTTGGCAAGCTGATTTATACTGTTTTTATAGACCGAAATCTAAAGATAGTGATCCCAATTATAATTTAAGAAATAAGCATAATGAAGTTAAAGTTAAAGATAATCATAAGGCATTGTATAAAGCTAATAATGGTTTTAAATATATTCTTAATGTTATTGATACATTTTCTAAAAAAGTTTATTCTGTAGCTTTGAAAACAAAAAGTGGATTGGAAGTATCTGAAGCATTTTCACAAATATTTAAACATAGTGTACCGAAAAAATTACATGTAGATAAAGGTAAAGAATTTTATAATAAAGATTTAAAACAATTACTAAACAAATATAACATTACAATGTATAGTACAGGCACCGATAAGAAGGCATCTATGGTTGAACGTTTTAACAGGTGATAAGTTGAAAAAATTACTTTATTTAAATAATGTATGGATTACTGAATTGCCAAGGATTATTAAGACATATAATAATACATACCATAGAACAATAAAAATGAAACCTGCTGATGTAAGTAAGAAAAACGAGAAAGACTTACTTTCTACTGTTTATAATTATGATATTAGTAATTCTGTACCTAAATTTGAAGTAAATGATAGAGTTAGATTATCTTTAATAAATGATGTTTATCGAAATAAATTAAAAACGAATTGGTCTAAAGAAATATTTATAATTGAAGAAGTTTTTAAATCAAATGTAAATTATTATAAAATTTATGATATCAATGGTACTGTTTATGAACAAGAAATTACGTTATCACTATTATAACCTCACATTATTGTTATCATAACAGCAACAAGTTCCAATTCTATGATATCTCTTTGATAGTGCCACGACCCATAATATTATTATTTTTTTTGTAATTTTTATATTTTTATATTTTTTTTGTACATTTTTTTTAATTTACCAATTTAATTTTATTCAATCAATTATTTTACTTATAAATGAACAAACTATATTGCTTTAAGTGTAAACAGAAAACAGATAATGTTAATCCACTTATAATAAAAACTAGTCACAATAGGAAAAGATTGTCTGCAAAATGTAAGCTATGTAAAAAATTAAAGTCAGGATTTATTAAGTAAGTAAATTTAGTATTTAAATATTTCATAATATTGTTGAATCAGATAATGTAAGTTATAATATTCTTTTTTTATTTTTAATCTATTTAACAGTAAGTCTTTTACAGAATCTACGCCTTCAATTTTGAATTTTGTAATAATAATATTTACTATATTTTGAAGTTTAATTAATTTGCTTTCTTCTCCCCAGATATATATTGCATATTGCAAATGAGATTGAATTAAAGCTGAGTATACTGATTTCTTAAAATTTTCTTCTTTTAAAATATAAAATATTGATAATTTTCTTTTGTTATTTATTTTATTAACTATTTCATTAAATTGGGTGTCAAATGTTAATTTTTGATCAATTATGCATCCTAAGTATTTATATTCGTACACCTTTTCTAATTTAGGACAACAACATTTATTAAAATTTGTACAACAAAAGTCATGAATAGTTAATTCATTATATGAATTCGCTTCAGAAAAATCAATGTATTGTGTTTTAGAAATATTTAGAGATAATTTATTTTCAACAAGCCAATTTCTGATTTTAATTAAATCTTCATTAGCTTTTTGATATAATTCAGCATGGTTATCAGCTTCAACAACCAATGCTGTATCATCTGCAAATAATACTAATTCACCATTGACTTTAATTTCAGCTAAACTATTAATATAAATGTTAAACAACAAAGGACCTAGGGAGGTCCCTTGGGGTACTCCACAATTAATAGTTTTTGTTTCAGATAAGTTTGATTTGATTTTTGTACAACATGTTCTATTATTAAGATATGATTTTAATAGTTCTAGGGTGTTTCCTCTTATACCCATATTATCTAATTTTCTTATTAATATACTATGGTCTACTGTATCAAATGCTTTTTTTAAATCAAAGAAAATTACCATTTTATATTTTTTTTCCGTTCTAATTGATGACATTAATTTTGAGATTGCTTTTTCTGTATTTTTACCTTCTCTGAAACCAAATTGTGATTTAGAAAGCATTTTATTTTTTTCTATAAAGTTAACTATCCTTGAGTAAATACACTTTTCAAAAATTTTAGAGACATTTGAAATTAAAGAGATCGGACGATAATTATTGACATCTTCTTTTGGTAATCCATTTTTTTTATATATAGGAGTTATTATTGCATGTTTTAATTGTTGAGGAAAATAATTTGTATTAATAAATAGATTAAATAATTCTGCCATTGAAGCGGCTATTGAGTCTTTATTATCTTTTAAACTTTTAACATCTACATTATCTGAGCCTGGTGATGTCCTATTTTTTAATGAACTAATTTTAAATTTTATTTCTTCATCACAAATTGGTTCAAAGAAGATAGAATTTGGATTAATATTATTTTTTGATTTGGTTTTTGAAGAAGGAATTTTTGAAGCTAGATCGCTACCAATATTAACGAAATGGTCATTTAATTTATTACACTCAATTTCTATATCATTTTTATATTTATTAATTTTTAAGAAATAATATAACAACTCCCATTGTTTTTGTGGATTATTTTTATTAACTACATTGATTTGTTCTTTAAAGTAATTTTCTCTTGCTATTTTAATTAAATGTACTATTTTTGATTTATATGCTTTAGCTAATTCTTTATTGTGCTTTAATTCGTTTTTTAATAGATTATTTCTAACTTTAATTGACTCAATTATACCTAGAGTAATCCACGGATTTCTACTTCTAGCCGGAATAAAATAATTATCAGATTTATTTAATACATTACTTATATATTTATTGCATTCTTCATCCACGTATTCATGTGTTGAAGTCTCCATAGTTGTTGTTTCTTGTTGGTGATTCATTGGCTGTAGTCGAAATGTCGTTCAAAATTTTTCAGCATCAATTCACTGTCATCACAATTTAGACGACTAAAAACGGCTACAGTATGCCCACGAATGAGTCAAAACTCAATAGTGGCTTGTATTTATAGCCTCGAAAAACATGATGCAATATTACGTAATCTAGAGAAGAAGAACCTTATAGAATGTTCTATTCGCGCCATAGTATAAAAAAATAAGGTATACTCAATCCAAAAACATGATGCAATATTACACAATAGTTACGTAATATTGTGCAATCTGCGCCATAGTATAAAAAAATGAGGTGGAAACAAGAGTACAAATCTCTTCTAGAATGTTCTATTTGACGTCACAAACTTAGTATTACGAAATATTACCATTGTCCTAAGATGAAAAAATAAATGACGGACTTTTTTGAAAAAAGGCTTTTAATACATGGTAATAAACAATCAAACTTACATAATAGCAAAGGTAAAATGCTGTTTATGTTGTAGAAAATGAAAATACTTTGGTTGTTATTTGTTTGCAATTTATTTATGATGTATGAAATTGTAATTGAATGATTTAAAAATGTATATTTGTAATTGATAACTAAATGTATGTAATTTTATATAAAAAATGTGAAATATCGATGTAATTGTATACAAATTGTATACAAAAAGTAGTCTAAATTCGATGTAAAAAATATCAAAATTTGATGTAAAAATGTTGAAATAAGCTAATTTTAAGGAGATTTTTTTGATTGTAAAAAAACCGACTGCGCCAGGACATACACTATCTATCTACTGTTATTGCACACAATAGAACTACATTTTTACTATTCGAAAAACTATACAATTATAGTCATAACTCGAAATCAATAAATTCTAAATTCTAGCAATCTTGTTCGGGAGGTGCGATTGGTACTTTCGTTGAATCGAAGCACTCGTACGACCAATGTTCAACGCAATGAAAACAATTTTTATTTTATTTAAGGAGTGCCGATGGGCAGTTTCCTGGGCGGTTACGTGTTTGATCGTTACGGATCCATCGATTCGTTCAAGATTTTAAGCGGTGTCGCATTAGTGATATGCGTAATCCAATTCACTGTAACCCAATTGATAAATCGATTTTCAAAGAACGAGAATGTCACTGAAGAACGAGGTGAAAATACCGTCAATGCTGCAACATCTGATAGAAATGATATTTTATAAATGTCGTTTTGATACGTAGGTAGGCTTTAAAATAATTATTTGTCTTGGATAATATGTGGACATTATTCAAAGATGTAGGTAAATAAGTAGGTACTTATTAATCATAAGTAAGTAATCCCAACATTGATAATTGTTTTGTTTGTTAAGTTACAAATTTTAAAACAGACTCTAAGGTCTAGTTTAACGTACGTATAAGGAAATCAAATTTTTTTCTGAACCAAATTATTAACAATACGTTAGTATGAAAATTTTCTACTTAAATTAATCACTACTATTACATTCATACATATTCATAACAGTTTTACGATCAAGACACAGACTCCGATGTTTCATAAATATTACATTGGTTCGTGTTAGAAGATTGGTAGCAATGAGAAAGCATTATTCTGAAAAGGATTCAGCTAAAATAATAAAAATAATAAAAAAGAATGAAAAAGTTCTAATTAAATATATTAGTTTTATTTTATATTGAAAAGGTTCTAATATTGTTGAACTAAATATTTTATAATTTGTATGCCAACCAATTTAGCAAATTATTATTATAATGTTGTGAATTAAACTATACAAGTTCCTGCAAGCCTTAGAACTTTAATTTTCAAAAAATATTGTTCAAGGAGTAAAATATTTGAACTGAAACCTTAAAACTACTTCCCTGAACAATTGTATAAAAACGATTTCATTCTAGGCCCACAAAATGTCGTTTTGATACGTAGGTAGGCTTTTAAAATAATAATTTGTCTCAGATAATATTTATTTATATATAGTTTAACGGGCTATTTCCTTTTTACAATATTTAACAACTGTTGTAATAACATGTGTGTAAAAGACAAGGATTTAAATTATAAACTTGTTAATTAATCGTATTACAATACAAAAAAAAAAAGGTGCTCTGCTGTAAAGTAGGTTACAAGTGGGTCATTGTATAATGGATGGTATTAAATTTGAATTCAATGATATAATATCATTGCATAAGACAAACTCCCGGCGACCTGCACCAGCTGATTTTACCGTATCCTGCACCGTCGTTCCGGCCCACTTGTCGTCAATGTTCGGCCGACTTCGTTTTTCTTTTTTTAGATCGTCACTGCGGACGTTTCCCCATCTGTTGTCGCCGTTTGCTGCACTAGAACTTTTCGTAAGTACATAGTGCCGCCACTTGCCATTGCAATTGTAACTATTGATTTCTTACATTATTTTTACACCCTTATAATATTATTATGTAATTGTCTTTTACGCATTTGTTTAAACGTTAAATTTTGTACTCTTGTATTAACCATGTCTTCTGTACCTATTCTTGTATACCACGATACTATCTTTGCATTGTAATAATTGATTTTTTATACTATCTATACCGTTATACTATTATCATATAGTTGTTTTGTACGTGTAAAACTTTTAATGTTGTACTAACCATGTTTTGTGCAAAGGTAGTATTTGCATTGTAATAATTTTTTTGCAATATTTTGTTATATTATCTTTATCCCTTGATAATGTATTGCTTTGCATGTGTTTGTTTAAATGTTAATTTTGGACTATTGTATTAACCATGTCTTCTGTACCTATTCTTGTATACCACGATACTACCTTTGCATTGTAATAATATTTATTTGCCATATTTTATTATATTATCTTTATCCCTTTATAATGTATTGCTTTGCATGTGTTTGTTTAAATGTTAATTTTGGACTATTGTATTAACCATGTCTTCTGTACCTATTCTTGTATACCACGATACTACCTTTGCATTGTAATAAATTATTTGCAATATTTTGTTATATTATCTTTATCCCTTTATAATGTAATGCTTTGCATGTGTTTGTTTTAATGTGAAATTTTGTACAATTGTATTGACCATGTCTTCTGTACCTATTGTTGTATACCACCATACTACCTCTGCATTGTAATAATTGATTTTTTATACTATCTATACTGTTACACTATTATCATATAATTGTTTTGTTCGCGTAAAACTTTAATTGTTGTACTAACCATGTTTTGTGTACCTACCTATTGTAATATACCTCGATAACTATAATTGAATTTCAATTGATTTGTTATGTACTTATATCTATTTCCATAGTATAAGCTTCTGCCGTCCTTCGAAAATCACAAGACGAGTTGTCGCTATCCGCAAAATGTTTAAAATTAGGCCTGGTGTGGCGTCAAAAAATTCAAAGAATACCTACCATATATTGCTATTTATTTATTTTTTTGTTACAATATACTTTTGGGAGCCGGCAATGAGATGACGCCATAAGCCACAAAGCAGTAGGTAACTAAAAAATTCACTTGGTTTTCGGGAAAAAATAAAACAGTTTTTATTAGTCCGTTGAGTAAAAATAATAATATTTTAAACACTAAGTAGATGATTATTGTATTTGTCATGAGGAAACTATTGAACATACGAAAAAATATTTCCTGATAAATTTGTATGGGTTTTAATGAATTGACTGCATATTAGGTTATATTTTTCAGAAGATGAAAATAAATAAGTCCACTTTTATTAAATACTACCTATGTAGTTTTCAGTTATTAAAAAAGAAAGAAGGCAAGTGTAATTTTTATTTATCAAGAATAACTTAAAAAAAGGTGGGTAAGTGGGTGTCGCTCTGCTGTACAGTAGGTTACATGCAAGTGGGTCACTGTATAATGGATGGTATTACATTTAAATTCAATGATATTATATCATTATATAAAAAAAACGATTCTGAGCGGAGACGGTATGTCCTTCTAGGTACAAGACATATTATATACTCAAAAAAT